CCCCAGCTCTGTTGTGGACGGGGAAGGTTGGCGATGCGTCGGCGTTCCGGGTCTGGGGATCTCGGGCGTTTGTTCGCGACCTGTCTGCGGACAAGCTGTCCCCTCGTGCTTCTCCCTGCGTCTTCCTCGGGTTCCCCCCCGACGCCCCTGGGTGGCAGTTTTACCACCCCACCTCTCGACGTGTTCTGTCCTCCCACGACGTCACGTTCGACGAGTCGGTACCCTACTACCGCCTCTTCCCCTACCGCACTCCGTCCCTCCCCCCACCCCCGCTCTTCTTGGTACCAGGTCCCCCCCCAGTAGTCCCCCTCCCCCCTCAGGGTCCTGCCCCTTCAGGTGTGTCTCAGGTAGACGCGGTCGAGCCTGTCGAGGTCACTGGTGACTCCGGTGCTGCTGCGGGAGCTGAGCCTGGGGGTGCGGAGTCTAGGGGTGCTGAGCCTGGGGGTGCTGAGCCTGGGGGTGCGGAGTCTGGGGGTGCTGGGCCTGGGGGTGCTGAGCCTGGGGGTGCTGTGCCTGGGGGTGCTGAGCCTGGGGGTGCTGTGCTTGGGGGTGCTGTGTCTGGGGGTACTGAGCCTGGGGGTGCTGAGCCTGGGGGTGCTGAGCCTGGAGGTGCCGAGCGTGGAGGTGCTGTGCCTGGGGGTGCTTCGTCTCGCCGGGAGCCGCTCTCTCCACAGGAGCTGCGTGAGTGGTTTGCCCGGCGCTGGAGGCGTGCCGCTGGTGCTAGTGGTTCTTCGGCTGCGGAGGGCGCTGCTGCCACGCGACCTGGCGGTGCTCGTCCTGTGGGTGCTGGAGCTGCTGGGTCTGAGGGTTCTCCTGGAGCTGGTCCTGCTGAGGACGTTGGCGCTGAGCCTGCGGTTGGTGGTCCGACTGACGGTGCTCCTGGTGCTGCTGCTGGAGGTTCTGGAGCTTCTGGTGGTTCTGCTGGAGGTGCTGCTGGAGTGGGTGCTCCGGCCGGAGCTGCTGGTTCTGTTCCTGCTGTTTCTGGCGTCGCCGCGCGGTCTCGACCGTACTTCGTTCCGCTCCTGGAGCAGGTTCTTGGTCTTGCTCCTCCTCCTCCTCCCTTAGAGGGTCCGCAGCCTGTCCGGTCACAGCCACAGCTAGAGCCTGCCTCCCCTTTGCCTGCTCCTTCTCCCTACGCTGGTCCGACTGGAGGCCTTACTGAGCGTCGTGAGCCTGCGTCTCGTCCTGCGTCGCCTGTTCGTACTGAGCGCGCTAGTGGTCGCGGGTCGCGTCAGCGTCCTCCTCCTGTCCCTGGGACGCACCGGATGTCACTGCGTCCGTCCACTGCTCCTCTGCGTGCCCCTTTGCCTTCTCCTCCTGCTTCCTCTCTTCCTGCTCTTGCCGACCCGGAGTCGGACTCTCTTCGTGCTGCCTGTCCTACTGTCACGCGTCTCCTTGCTACTGCTGTCACTGACCCTTCCTTCGAGTCGTCTGCTGCGTCTGCCCTTGTCACTGAGCTTGTCGACTTTGCTGCGCGCTGTCGTCTAGACTACGCTGCTCGTCTTGTCGCTGAGTCTGAGTCCGCCTGTCCTCCGTCCGTCGGGGGTGAGTGTGCCCTTGGCACGGACGTCCTAGAGGACAGGCAGGAGGAGTTCCAGTGTCTAGCCGCTGCTTCACCTCGTCTCGCGTCTGTACTGCTAGCCCCTGAGGGAGACCCGGATGCACTAGACATCCCGACTCCGCGTTCTTACGCGGAGGCCGTAGAGGGTCCCTACTCCTCTCAGTGGCAGGCAGCTATGGATGCAGAGATGGCTTCCTGGAAGTCCACAGGCACCTACGTTGACGCGGTTCCCCCTCCTGGGGCGAACATCGTCAGTGGCATGTGGATCTTCAGGGTGAAGCGGCCGCCGGGCTCGCCGCCTGTCTTCAAGGCGCGTTACGTGGCTCGTGGCTTCAGTCAGCGGCAGGGAGTTGACTACTTTCAGACCTTCTCTCCCACCCCGAAGATGACCACTCTTCGGGTGCTGCTGCACATTGCCGCTCAGCGCGACTACGAGCTTCACTCTCTCGACTTCAGCACTGCGTTCCTGCAGGGTAGCCTGCACGAGGAGATCTGGCTGCGCCGTCCGCCTGGCTTCACTGGGACTTTCCCTCCTGGCACCCAGTGGAGCCTCCGACGGCCAGTCTACGGTCTCCGCCAGGCACCGCGTGAGTGGCACGACACACTGAGGACTACGCTTGCGGCTCTTGGGTTTGCTCCTTCTACTACTGACCCGTCGCTGTTTCTTCGCACCGACACTTCCCTGTCGCCGTTCTACATTCTCGTGTACGTCGACGACTTGGTCTTTGCCACAGCGGACGCTGCTGGACTCGCCTACGTGAAGTCCGAGCTGCTGAAGAGACACACGTGCACAGACCTGGGTGAACTGCGCAGCTACCTTGGCTTGCAGATCACTCGGGACAGAGCACGCCGCACCATTACCCTGACTCAGTCACACATGGTGTAGCAGGTCCTTCAGCGCTTCGGCTTCACGTACTCCTCGCCTCAGGCCACTCCTCTGCCTACTCGCCACTCACTCTCAGCTCTGCCTTCGGATGAGTCCGTAGAGTCGAGTGGTCCGTATGCAGAGCTTGTTGGCTGCCTCATGTACCTGATGACCTGCACACGACCTGACCTTGCATACCCTCTGAGCATCCTTGCACGCTATGTTGCTCCTGGGAGACACCGACCAGAGCACATGGCTGCAGCGAAGAGGGTATTGCGCTACCTGTGCAGTACGTCGGGCATGGGGCTAGTGCTTGGAGGGCGGAGTCCAGTGGTCCTTACTGGGCACGCAGACGCTTCTTGGGCTGACGACCAGGCTACGCAGCGGTCGTCACAGGGTTACACCTTCAGCCTTGGTTCCGGCTCTGTCTCGTGGCGGTCTACTCGCTCGTCTTCGGTTCTCGGCTCCAGTTGTGAGGCTGAGATCTACGCCGGGGCCATGGCTGCACAGGAGCTTCGCTGGCTCACCTACCTGCTGACTGACCTTGGAGAGCTGCCTCGTTCTCCTCCAGTGCTGTACGTAGACAACAAGGCCATGTTGGCCTTGTGTCGAGAGCAGCGCTTGGAGCACAGAACGAAGCACATTGCTCTCCGCTACTTCCTTGCTCGTGAGCTGCAGCAGCGTGGTCAGTTGCGACTTGCTTACGTGGCCTCTGAGGCCAACACTGCTGATGTGTTCACCAAGGCACTTGCGCCTTGCGACCATCAGCGCTTTTGTACCCAGCTGGGTCTTGTACCTGTCTTGCCTCACTTGCTCTCTTCTTGACTTTACTTGTACTTTGACATATATATACCTGCTCTTGCTTGTCTAGTTTTATATATGTCTGTACTCCTGCATGTGAACTGGCCTCTGGCCTTGCTCTTGTGCTCGGACTGTGTGGTGACTTTGTGATCCACCCTGAGCTTGCTTTGCTTTGCTTGACTGGTCTTGTGACCCCTTGTTCTCCCCCACTTTGCCTATGGGGGTGTGTCAGATTATTATAGCTGATGCATGTTTGTAGGCTATAGTGGGGTAGCACATATGGGGTACAGTTTGCTAGGGTTGTATTTGTACCCAACTCTGACTTAGTCAATTCATTCCTGTTCAGTTAGTTTCACACCATGGATGGATCACCAGCTCTATCGCCGCTCCCGTCGCTCTCTACTTTTGAAATATACATGGAGCAAGGGAGCCTCGGTAATCTGAGTAACAGGTGACAATTTTTCCTCTCACAGCTCAGCTGTTTGAAGTCGGGTGCGGTTCTGTCAGTGGTAGTCTCACGAGTCGACGCTCTCGAATTTATTTCACGAGGCTGCCTTGCACTTTGTAAAGACCAGGAGGCAGCCAGAGGACAGGCCCCTGCAGCATTAACAAGTCGATTGATTCGGAGATTGATATCCGCATCAGAACGATGGATTCTGGATTAACCGCGAATGCTGAGAAATCTCGTTTCTCCTGTAAAACATTACATTGGTAATGTGCTCCTTGATGCGCCTTCCTTGCTCGTCCTCTAGCACCAGCACCCCGGACTGCCTCATCTCCTTCACCTTCCAGCGTTCTGGTCCGACTGGCAGGTCTAGCGTATCTCGCTTTGGCTGCCTCAGGTACACTTCCTCCCCAGTCTCTACTCCGTTACGTCTGCATCCCTCCTCTCCTGCCTTCCTCTGTTGGTAACGTCTAGCGTCCCTCAGCTGCGCCACGTGGAGGTTGTCCAGCGCTGCCGGCGTCAGTTCCTTCAGGTAGGCCGCCTGTCACCGAATATGCACGGTTGTGCATATAAGGTGCCAGTTTTGCTGCGGTGTAGTTTCAAGTGTAATATGACTATATGTGAAGATCGAGGGTGTAGGTAGTTGGGGACCAGGGAGAGTGTCGCGAAGTTGGTAGGAGAGTTCCGAGAAGTGCAATCCAATGAACCAATGTGGATGCACCAACCCAGGCTCGAAGCGCACATTGAGAAATGCACGCTTCGAGCCTAAGCCAGGTAAATTCACTCTCACACACACACACACTCGTTGCTTTCCGTTTGTTATCCTTTCGTATAGTGGATCGTTGTTACCTTCATCTTACAGCTACGTGAAACACCACTCAGGGAGGACCCTTGGGGTGGGAGCTCTGTGACTTTCATAACAAACGGAAAGGGAGTGTGCGTGTGTGCAAGGATGGACGGGTATGAGCTGCATTATGGCAGGACGTGTGGTCGTCGCGAGGAAGATCGCGCATGGCGCGGACACTCGCGGGAGCGTGGGCAATTGCCGGAGAGGTCGCCGCGGAGGCCTGCCTTTCGCGCGGATTAGGTGCCTCTCGGGCCCGAGCGCCGAGCGGGCGGATCCGCACGAACAGGAGCAGGCGGATCGGGATCGGCCCTGGCGGGAAGTAATCCGTGGCGGACGGAACCGCGCCATGGAGCAGGTGGCAATATGGGGTATCGCCAGGAGACGGGAGCGTACCGCTCGCCGAAGGCAAGCTACCGCCGTTGCGAAGATCGTAGTCGCGGGCGAGGCTTGGAGGAATTGTTTTCGGGCCGAGAGGGTGACCTCAACGCTGAAGGAGGAGTGGACGAGCGCACGGACTCGTCGCAGGGATCTGAGCGTGACGACGTGGCTGATGTTGGCGGCGGAGCCCAGGAGGAGGACGAAGGCGAGCAGCGCGACATGCCCGCGGAAGCAACGGTGGCAAACCCCACCAAGGCAGGCGAGGCGGAAGAGACTGGCGGAACAGGCAGCTTACGAAGCGCACGCAAGGAAGCGCCCGTTCCTGGACAGCAGGCGCAAGGCGGGGAACAGGGCAGCGGCGCAGCACGCGCGCCGGATCCGCGCCAGCAGAATGACGGAAAGCGGGGAAGCGGTCTGAGCGCGCCAGATCTACGCCCGCATCATGACGAAGGGCGGGGAGGCGGGTCGCGTTTGCCTGAGCCACATCAGCAACGTGACGGGAGGCGGGGAAGCGGGTCGCGTTCGCCGGAACTGGGGAGGTATCACAGTGGGAGGCGGGAAGGCGGATCGCGTTCGCCAGATCCGTGGAGGAATCGCAACGGGAGGCGGGGAGGCGGGTCGCGCTCGCCGGAACCGTGGAAGAATCGCAGTGGGAGGCGGAGAGGCGAGTCGCGCTCGCCGGATCCGCGTCAGCAGCATCGCGGAGCGCGGGGAAACGGGTCACGTTCGCCGGATCGGCGCCAGCGCCATGAGGGAAGGCATGGAGGTGAGTCGCGTTCGCCAGATTCGTATCGCCACCAAGACGGGAAGCGGGGAAGTGGGCCACGCTCACCGGATTTGCGCAGACATCATGAGAGAAAGTGGGGAGGCGAGTCAAGTTCGCCAGATCGGCAACAAGAACAGGGTGTGAGTTGGGGAAGCGAGCATCGCTCGATGGATCAACGTCCGCAACGTGACAAGAGATATGGAGGCGGGCACCGCTCGCCAGAACGTGATCTGCAGCGAGGACAGGGAGGGAGATGGGAGGAGGAGTGGCATCACCGAGACAATCGTTATGGGCAGGAGGGAAGGAGAGCTCCACGATCCCCGACACCTGAGAAGCGCTGGCAGCACCAAGGGCGAAGGGAAGATTGGGCGCAGGCGAGTTACTCACCAGATCGGCGAGGGAGGAGGGGTGAGGAGGAAATGCGCTTGGAAGCAAGGCAGGATCAGCTCAGGAGCAAAGGTATAGGCAGCGGTCTGGCATGCAGCATGGAGCGCGCCAGAGAAGCAAGGAAGGGGATCGAGCGGGCTAGAGGAGGAGGAACGTCAGGAAGGCAGGAAAGGGGAGCAAGTGAGTCATGGGGCGAGGGGCGTGGAAGTGCAGCGATGGCTACACGGGTGGAAGTGCCGGCGCGTTTCTCAGGAGACCAGCGCCTGGGGCCTACGTTGAAGAACTACTTAATGCAAGTGTGGAATGTGAGATACAGATGTGAGCGGAGCGGCATGGATGCGGTGGATTTCTTCTCAAGTCTGCCAAATACATTGGTAGGGGAAGTGGAGACACTGTACAGAATGAGGATGGAGGAATTGCTTGAGAGGGCGGGCAGGTACGGGGAAGACCCCACAGAGGCATTTCTAAAGCGGCTGCAGCGACAGTTTCCAGGGCATACGGCAGAAAAAATAAGGGAATTTCAGGAGTTCCGGAGAGGGAGGAGTGAATCGTTGCTTACCTATTACAGCCGGCTGATCAACTTGGTGGAGGATGTGACGTGTGGGGACATGGGCCTCTTGGTCAGCAAGTTCTTGGACGGGCTGGACAACACCATGGGAAACGGGCTGCGCATGAAGGTGTATGAGATGGGGGCCGACACAACGCTGGATGAGGTATTCGAGTTGGCAGAGAAGATGGAGTTAGCACAAAGAAAATATGAGGCATATCGGCCCAGGACCATGGAGCGCAGCCGTGGGCCGACTTGGGCAGCAGCGATCATACCTGAAGAAAGGGATAAGGGAGTGGGTCGAGGAGAGAACAGGCCAGAGACACCGACTTGCCACACATGCGGACAGCCGGGACACATTCGCAAGGACTGCAAAAACTGTGACAGTTGTGGGAAACCAGGGCACCGGCGACGGGAATGCCCTGAAGCACCGAAGTGTTAAATCTGTGGGAGAGGGGGACATGCGGCAAGAGACTGCTACCAGCGAGAGGGAGCAGCAAAAAAAGAAGCTGGAGGAACAGGAGAAGCAGATAAGCCGGCTGCAAGCGCAGCTGCAGGCACTGGGACCGCGACGCGAAGCAGAGGCAGGGATGTATGCCAGGGATGAGGAGGAAGATGTCACACAGGAAGAGCAGGGAGCACTCATGGCGTGGGGAATGAGGGAGGATGATGAGGTAGAACATGAGGAGCAACCTGCATACATGGCATGGAGAGGGAGAGAAGAGATGGGGCTACGCAGTGGAGGCAAGGATGGGCGAAGGGAACAGATGAGGAAGGAGCGGGAAAGGGGGCAGAAGCCGGAAGAGAAGGAAGAGAAATGCACTGCTGTACGTCACCCGCAGGAGCGGCTGGCATGTCAAACATCAGTGTTGCTGATCCAGAATGGAGCACTGACAGTGGAAGGGGAGAAAGCAAAGACAGCTATCATAGACACCGGAGCACAAAGTGTCATACTCGGGAAGGGGATGGTTGAGAAGCTGGGGTTGTGGGCACCAGACAGACATGTGATGAAGGGGATGCTAGTGATGACGGCAGAGGGAGGAGAGTCAAAATGGATGCCCTGCACGAGGACTCCGATAGAAGTGACGGTGCTGAAAGGGGAGAAACATGAAACGCCAGTCAGAATCAGGTGCGGGATTTCAGAGTCGGGAGATTTTGATGTGCTGGTGGGCACGGAGATGATTTTTGCATTGGGCATGACCATCTGCTTTTGGAAAGAAACAGTGGAGTTCCGAACGAGGTGGTGGAGGAAGGGTGAACCACTAGGGCAGCTGCCGGTGCAGTTTGTGAAGACAGAGCCAAAGAGGGCCTACCGTGCAGATCAGAAGTAGGTGACGGCGAAGCAAGGGGCACAAGAGGGAGTGACTGATAAAGGGACGGGCAGGGAGCCTAGGATGCGTCTCATGGATGAGCCTAGCCAACAGACCAACTGGCAGTAACCCATGCGGCTAGTGGAACTGTTCGGGGGAATAGGGGCGGGACTGGCAGCAGTGGTGCGGAATGGAATAGCAGTGAAACAGTGGATTTACGTTGAGCAGGCAGCAGAAGTGAGGAAAATAGCAGAGCATCATGCGTGGGAGCTGCATAGAGAGTTCCCGGAGCTGCTGAGGGGAGATGTGATCAAGGCAGCCATGAGCCGAGGATTGAACGATGTTAAAGTAATCACGGAAGCTGAAGTGGCAAGCTGGGGGCACGTAGACCTGCTGGTGGCAGGGTGGGAGTGCCAAGGGGTATCATGGGCAGGAAAGGGCAAGGGTGAACTAGACCCCAGGACCAAACTGATGGAGGAGTTGTTCAAGATTATGGAGTGGGTGCAGGCTAGGCAAGGCAGACTGGCCTACCTGCCGGAAAACTTGGATATGGAAGGAGATGTCCGGGAACCAGTAAGGTTGGTAAGAGAGAGAGTGGCAAGGCAGATGAGCAAAGGGGTGAGCAGCGACGCGGTTCAAACGGGAGCTTACGCACACCGGCTGAGGATGTACTGGCAGAATGTGGTGCCAGTGGAAGATCTGCAGAGGGAGATAGAGGGAGTGCAGAGGCCAGAGGGGCGCAAGGTGAGCGACATACTGGAACCACGGAGAACTCCAGCACCAGTAAGCAAAAGGAGCTACAGCAGACACTACCCGTGCAACCAGGTGGGACAGGAGAGGCAGGCATTACCCACCTTGGTGTCCTACGAGGGGGCAGCAGGATATCAGATGGATGGAGAGCAGCCGGGCCCAGGACTGGTACTTGACCATAGGAAGGGACGGTGGGAAGAACCCACGGCTTTGGAGAGGGAGTTGGCCATGGGGTACAAGGAGAATGCCACAGCAGCCTCTGGAGTGAGTGAGAAGTAAAGAAGGCGTGCATTGGGGAACGCTATGGATGGGTACATGATGAGATGGTTGGTGCAGCGGATGTGGAAAGAGACAGTGCTGCACTGGGGACTGAAGGAAGGAGAAAACACAGTGGCAACAGTGAGACAAGGAGTGTGGGCCTGCCTGCAGAATGAGGAGCCAGAGTGGAGGATAGGTGAGAACATGAGCGAGGAAGGGAAGGCAGCAATGCGAACACTGCTGGCCAAGCATCGGAAGGGCTTTGCTTTCACCCTGCAAGAGTTGGGGAAGTGCAAGATTAAGGAGATGGCACTGAAGCTGAGCACTGATGAGTCGGTATTCCACCGTAGGAGGAAGATGCCACCAGGGGATGAAGAGATATGCAGAGAGAAAATAAAGGAGCTGCTGGAAGCAGGACTGATTCGGAGGTCAGAGTCGGAATACGCCACCCCAACCGTGGTGGCAGCCAGGAAAGACTTGACAGGCGAGGTGTTGAGCAGGAGAATGTGCGGGGATTACAGGGATCTTAACAAAATTACCGTACCGGACCGATATCCGATGCCGATGGCTGAAGAACTCTTCGACAAGCTGGCTGATGGGGTGTTTTTCACAACGCTGGACCTACGGCAGGGGTTCAATCAAATTAAAATCAGAGAAGAGGATGTGAAGAAAACGGCCTTCCATGGACCTGATGGGCTGTACGAGTGGTTGTACATGCCGTTCGGTCTAAGGAACGCCTCAGCAGTGTTCCAGCGGATCATGGATGCGGTGCTGCGGGATATAGAGCATGCGGCATGTTATATCGATGACGTGGTGGTCTTCAGCCTAACCGAACAGCAGCACCTGGAGGACGTGGAGAGGACACTGAGTGCCATAGAGGGGGCAGGGCTCACCTGCTATCCCAACAAATGCAGATGGGGGGAGCAGACCGTGCAATACTTGGGGTACAAGGTCACAGGGGGACAAATCGGGATCCAGCAAGCGAAGGTGCAGGTGCTGGACAGGCTAAGGGAACCCAGAGACAAGTCCGGGCTGCGGGCAGTCTTGGGCTTCCTCAGCTATTACAGACGCTTCGTGCCTAACTTCAGCAAGAGAGCAACGGTGCTGAACGGGATGCTGCGGGAAGACAAGGCATGGGAGTGGGGAGAGAAACAGAGGGAGGCGCTGCAAGACCTGATGACCGCGGTGAAGACGGCGACAGTGCTGCGGCTGCCAGCAGCAGACCAGCCCTTCGTCCTCTACACCGACTGGAGCAGTCAAGGGATGGAGGCAATACTGTGCCAGGAGGTAGAGGGAGTGGAGAAGGTAGTGGCTCACACCAGCAGGAGCTGCAACCCGGCTGAAGCACAGTACAGCTCGTATATAGGGGAGGGGCTGGTGGCGGCATGGGCAGTGAGGCATTTCCGAGTATATCTACAGGGTGGGGAGTTCACCTTGGTGACGGACCATCAGCCCCTCACATGGCTGATGACCACACCAGGGCTGACGGGCAGGAACGCGAGGTGGGCAGTAAAGCTGCAAGAGTATGACTTCAAGATAAGGCATAGGCCGGGAAAGACACTACAGCATGTTGACGGTCTCTCTCGCAACCCACCACCACTGGAGACAGACCAGAAGGCAACGGAAACGGAACGGACAGAGCTGGAGCCAGCGCTTACCTTGATTCTGCTGGCGAGAGAGGTGGAGCGGAACGGTGTGAAGGGGAGTAAGGGGCCAGCTGACATTTGGCAGGATACAAAGGCACTGGAATGGGTGAAGGGAGAGACTGAGGAGGATGAGACAGTGTCTGAAAGGGTGAGGGCACGAGGGCATCACTACAGGTGGTTTCAACAACAGTTGCAGATAAAAACAGAGGACGGCTGGAAGTTGGTGCCAGCGCCAGAGGAGCGTGAAGCAGTGATCAGGGAGGTACACACTAAGCTGGGGCATTTCGGGCACAAGAGAACTGTACGCCTGCTGAAAACGGGCTGGTGGTGGGAAGGGATGCGCCGGCAAGTGAAAGAGTGGGTAGAAGGGTGCGAGGCTTGTCAGAGGAGCAAGGCGAACCTCACTCAGGCCAAGGCAGAACTGCAGTCATTGCCCATCTGTGGTTTGGGATTTCGTTGGTCCTTGGACCTAGCAGGAGAGCTGCCACTGAGCAGGAGCGGGAACCAGTACATAGTGCTCATGGTTGAGCACGTGAGCAAATGGCTGGAGGTGAGGGCCATTCCTAGCAAAAGCGCAAGGTACATTGCAGTGGCTTTCAAGGCTCAGGTAGTGTGTCGATTCGGAGCGTGCGGGGAAGTGCTCACAGATCAGGGCACAGAGTTCCAGGGAGAGTTTAA